CCCCGTGCCACTGCCGCCATCCCCAGGGCCGCCCCTGCACAGGGCTAAATTTGAGTTTCGGGCACTACTTTGATTTAACCCTTTCTGAACCCCAGACAGAACCTTCCTGGTGTGCTTTGTCCACCACGATGGCTACAAAACCTGCCGCGTGCCGCCAGTGTCCCCAGGTGCTGGCCAGGACCAACAGACACCATACCTCAAGTTTAGCTGGGCCCAGGTGGGAGACTGGCCAGCTGGCAGATTAGGAGGGCAAACGGGAATTGGGCCCCCTCCCTCCCCATGCTGTCCTTGCTTAGAGCATCTAGGACCCCCAGAGCCCTGGATCCAAGGGCAGATGTGTCCTAGAACAGGTGTCATCTCCCCTTCCTGCACCAGGGCCAGGGGCTTTTCTTTGGAGACCCCACTCGGGAGTGGACGGTCTCCAGAGTGTCACATTAGCTCTGGTGGCCCCCGCGACCAAGCCAGGTGAGGTGTGCGGGGTGAGTGACCGTGCCCTGATCCTGGAGCTGGGGTGAAAGCAGCCTAGGACTTAACCCATGCTTGTGTGCGTGTCTCTGGGCACACACTGTGACCCACACCCTGACTGTGGACCCTTCTCTGAGTGGGGAACAGTGTGGGGGAGGGCCCAGTGGTCTCCAGGAAGATTTCTTAGGCTTTTTGTAGCACGGAAGCCAAGGCCAAAGCTCGTGTGCCCCTCTCTGCTGGTGCTGAGTGCCTGTACTGAGCCCAGCCTGGCACCCATGCACCCCACCGCCCGTCTGTCTGCTTGGGCACTGCCATCTGTGGGCAAGGCTGTGTTGGCTCCTGAGCCTCGGCCACACAGGCTGGGAAGGTGGCTTCACAGAGTTTGCCCTGGGCCCTGAGAAACTTTCCTGTTGCTTGGGTTTTTTTTTTTGTTTTGTTTTTTTGTGTTTTTTTGAAGAGGCAACTTTTCTTTCTTCCTGAACCAAAAGGTTTTGGCATAAACAGCATCAGAAGCACGGGCTTCATGCCTTGTAAAGAACAATTGATTTTTCCGCCAGGCAGAAGAGCTACAATCGGTGAGGAGACTGTGTGTCATGGAGTGTAGATGCCCCCTTGCACCCAGATTAGCCCTTGAGAAGCAGGTGGAAGGGCTCTCTCCGCCCCCAGGCATTGACCCATCTGAGGCGGCAGAGGAGCGGGGAGCACCCTGCCCCCCCCCACCCCCGCACTGCCCTCCAGCGCTACTAGACCCATACACGCACACGCCACAGCCCAGCCGCTGGGAGGTGCTGTGTCCTCTGTGGCCACTGCACCTGGCATCTGGGGCACACGGCCGTGCCTGCAGGCTGCCCCCTCGGGACGAGGGACAGGGGCTCCAGGCAGGGTGCGGTGCACTGTGAGTGTAGCCAGCCCTGCAGCCACCCGTCCTGGGAGGGGCACGGGATCCCTCGGGTCTGGGCACTGCCAGCACTTCGGGATAAGCTGCTGGTGGAAGGGGCTCTCCCCTTTCTCCCGCCTCCTTTGACCTTGAACACCTCCCCCGGGATGCCCCTGGGCTGGCCAGCTCCCCACCACAACCCCACGGGACTGCCAGCTGCGGGTGGGCCTCACCGGGCGTGGCCCCCGCAGCTTGGGCGTGTGCCACGGGAGGGCAGGTTCTCACAGTGCCGTGGGGCCAGGCAGGGCGGGCCTGCGGTGGTGTGGGTTGGTAGTGAGCAGGTGAGTGGGCAGTGCCCAGCCCCTCAGGATACAGCCTCCCCTCCCTTGACCCAGCGGGTGAGCCTGGACCACTGCTAGGCTGTTTTTCGCAGTCAGATGTCTGCCCAGGGTCCCCAGAGAGACCAAAGAAGTAGCTGGGCTGGGGGAGCCAGCCTTTGGCCCTGAGTGGGCGTGACCCCCAGTCACTTAGGCCCTCCCCTTGAGTTCTTTTTTTTTTTTTTTTTTTTTTTTTTGAGATGAAATTCATACAATATCAAGTAACCATTTCAGAGTGAATGACCAGTGGCATTTAGTACATTCACACTGTGTGTGCCCATCACCTCTACCCAGTCCCCGGACTTCATCACCTCGGTGCTCCTTAAGAAGCTGTCCCCAGCCCTTGGGGGCCACCACACTTCTTACTGCCTCTGGGTCTCCCGTTGTGAAGATTTCCTGTAAATGGACTCCTACAACGTGCAGTCTTTTGTGCTTCTGTGTTTGTTTTCTCTCACTTAGCTCCATGTGTTCATGGTTCATCCACATTGCTGCCTGTGTCGGAATTTCATTCTTTCTTAGGGCCGAATAACAGTGCACAGTTCGTTTACCTGTTTATTCACTGACGGGCCTTTGAGTTGTTTCCACCTTTGACTGTCGTGAATAGATCTGCTCTGAGTATGTGTGTGCGTGCTGGGGTACCAGTTGTCATTTGTTGGGGGTGCACACCCAGGAGAGGAATTGCTGGGTCAGGTGGTAATTGTCACGTGCTGAGGGCTGCCTCCGCATTCCCGCTGGCGATGCGGCGACGGGTTCTCTCTTCTCCGGTGCCTGTGGGTCCTTGTTGTCGTCTGCACTGTGGATTCCGGCCAGCCATCATGTGCCTCTCGGGGGCTTCGGTTTGCCTTTTCCTGGTGGCCAGTGATGTTGAGCATCTTTCCACAGGCTTCCATAGCCACTTGTGTGTCCTCTTTGGAGAAATGTCCGTTCACATCCTTTGACCATTTTTAAAACAGATTTTTTGTTGTTATTCACTTACAGGAGTTATTTATATTTCCTGGATGCAAAACCCTTGTCAGACACGTTTGCAAATATTCTCTCTCGTTTTTATGAGTGATCTTTTCACTTGTCCAGCTGTGCCCTTTGAAGCATGGAAGCTGTTCATTCTAAGTCCGATTTTCCCCTTATTGGCCTGTGCTTTTAGTGTCGTAACTGGCCCATTGTCAAATTCAAGGTCACAGAATTTTATCTTTTTTTCTTTCTTTATTTTATTTTTTATTTAAGTAGGCATTATGCCCAGTGTGGGGCTCAAACTCACAACCCTGAGATCAGAAGTTGTATGTTCTACTGACTGAGCCAGCCAGGCGCCCCTCAGGGTCCCAAAAATTTACTTGGGTTTTTTTTGTAGGAGTTTTATAGTTCTCACTCCTACATTTAGGTCATTGATCCATTTGGAGTTACTGGTGTGAGGTAAGGGCCCAACTTCATTGTTTAGTGCTTAGATCCTGCTATCCCAGCACCATTTGTTGAAAAAACTGCCCTCAACCTGAGCGGCCTTGGCACCCTTATCTAAAATCATTTGACGAGGGGTGCTCAGCTGGCTCAGTTGGCAGAGCATGTGACCCTTGATCTCGGGGTTGTGAGTTTAAGCCCCACATTGTGTGTGGAGCCTACTTAAAAAATAAGAAGTTTCTGGGGCGCCTGGGTGGCGCAGTCGGTTAAGCGTCCGACTTCAGCCAGGTCACGATCTCG